TGCGTGTTTCAGGAGGAACGGACTTATCAGAGTGGAGACTCATAGAGTTAATGAGGAGATATTTCTCAACCGCCACTCCCAAGGGAAAAATTCTCAAACAACTACACAGGTAAAAGCGAGACTGCCAAGAGAAAAAACTATTCATAGTTTTTTTTGTTTGTTTGTTTTCTTTTTTTTTAAACCCTTGCCTCTATTGAGAGTAATAATATCGTGATTACCATTGGTATGCATAACGTGTTTTCCTTTTGGTGAGGGCCGCGCAATTTGTGGTGGCTTACGATAGTTTCATTACTCTGTAAACTGATGTCTTGGATGTAGACCTTCTAAACACAACTATTTCCAATGCTCTTTTTTCCACAAGGAGGAAACCGTAAATACCGATTACTTGAGACATTCTTTTATTACTTTTCGGGTCGATACAAAGCTATCAGAGCCTTCTGAAGCTGGTTGTCCTTGCCTAAAATTTTCTTAATTTAAGATATACACAGATTTAAGCTGAGGAACAACACTACGATGACGACTCAGATCTCAGAGATTCCAAAGCCACTTTCATGGTTATTAGGAGGCTGGACATTCAATTTCCTTGGCAGTATCACGCTGATTGTTTCATTTACTTGCGAAGCTCGCTTAACGCCTGTTACTTCATCTGCAGTTGGGTTGACAGCGTTGATCCTTCTTTTGAAGCGAGATCTAATCTGCATGAATAAGTTGATATCAAAACGATCTCAAGAACTGTACAACTCTATGTGCTTCGCATACATACAACCATCGAATTTAATTTCTTATTTCAAAGTGGAAGCCTTGCCAGGTAAAACTCTGAGCAAAAATCTAAAGTTTACAAAGAGACTTAAAATAACATTTGATAACATACCTCTGAATTTCTCACACAGTGAAGGAGGAATATTAAGAAGCCCTGTTAAATCGCAATTTCAGAAACCCCATTAACGCCTTTAGTAGATTCAAAGTGCTTTCATACAAGCCCCCCCTAACCCTAAACCTCTCACTATTAAACGTACATGGGCAGCAAAAATGTCCAAACCTTTACTGCTATTAATCACAAGTTCTCTACTTTGTCTCTGTATTACACTAAGTTTACCACCTGGTAAACTTGTAAGGAAAGGGTAGTACAACTTGCCGTGGAATTTCCTTTTACGTTGGTATCGTACGCGCACGTATTTCATCCCTTAAAGCTGTGTTCATTTTACCTGAGTAGAGTTGAAAATTGTGAAAATGTACGCAAACGCTTTATGCAGGGGCGAAAGAAGACCAAATAGCCACGTGA